TTTATTTAGAGACGTCACATGGTGATCTAACAAAACGTCAATGTCTTGGAAATTGTCTTGCTGAAAGTTACTTGTAGTCTTATTCTGAATATTGAGCGTTTCATTGTGATAAACTACGTTTGATTTTTTAATCTCTAATTTCATATTTGCAAACTCCTTTTTTAAAAACTCCAACTTGTCTTTTCATCGGTGATTTTAATTAGAAACTGTCTTTTTCTCGTGGTTTGATGTTTACTTGTAAAATATTGAAGATATTCAATATTGGTATTGTTTTCTTAAATTAATTTCTGATCTCGATGTAAAAAGAAGTTGGAGAAATTCAGAAATGTTAGTCATTTGATCACAATTTGCCGGGCTCTAAGTATCTTACTGTTCGCCAAATTGAAATATTCTGAGTTTGATGCTGTTTGTACACTTTTGAACTAAGTGTTCATTGGAACTTGGTTTTTAACAGAGTTTCTTTTGGTATCACTTCGTAACGAAAACGTATCTTCGAAACAAAACGTCTAATTTAAGGATCTTTATTTTTGTTTGAATGTTAACTCTTTGTTCTGTCAGCTTTAATATTCTGATTATCACTCCATAATATCAAGACGTTTTTCAGTGCAATACGTTTTTGAAATTTTCCAGTTTGGTCGAAATGTTTCGGCTATACAATTGTATCAGTTTAGCTACCAAATGACTATATCCATTCTAGTATTTCATACTTTGCGTGACATGCAATTTTTATCATGATTAAGATCATGTCCTGTGGCCTTCATTTCTAGAAGAAGTAGTGACGATTGATTAGTCACTAAGTCACTTGGATCAAATTCAATAGTTGGTATGTTTCGTTCTTGAAGTCTTGATTTAATGCGATATCGCCAGTTCAATACTTTCAAAAAACATGCTCATCAACCGATTTCTCTAAGTTTCTATATGGTCACCAATTGAGTTTGAAATTCCAAATATATCACTTTTCTCTGTTTGTAAGAAACTGTTGATATTTATTCACACTTACACATATAATATCTGACACTAAATCTTATTAAGACATTTTCAAATTCCTTTATGCTAATATTTTGAGGATCAGTTTCCCAGTGTGAATCAGTACAAATGATTGCTGACATAATACACAGTTATTGTTTAGTTCCTTCATCGTAATATAATATGATCTGTGAATAAGGCTATCACTTTGTCTGTTACAGATAAGTCCTCTTACATAGTTAAAAAATGTTACTTTCCCATACTTTACATAAATAGATCACCTAGATTCACAACATTTTGCATAATACTTCAAGAACCAGTTTTTAGCAGTTATCATTAGATCTCCGTCAACGCGGAGGACACCATCATTATTAACCAACAACTGTTAAATAGAATGGAAATTTTTTATTTAAGATCTTTTTTGTTAGATGTCGGTCAGTGTAGCATCGGTTTCTGCAGCATTAAGCGTCAACATTCACAAGAGAAAAAGCAAGATCCTCAGGTACAACATGGAGAACACCAACCCAATCACACTTGATGGAGAAACTGTGAATGAGGTAGAAAGTTTTACGTACCTGGTCAGCAGCATGATCGATGAACAAAGAGGATCGGATGCAGATGTAAAGGCGAGGATTGGCAGAGCAAGGACAGCATTTCTACAATTGAAGAACATATACAACTTAAAACAACTGTTTGCAAGGCAACACCAAACTCGGAATCTTCAATAAGGACGTCAAGACAGTTCTACTGTACGGGGCTGAAACTTGGAGAACTACTGCAACCATTATCAAGAAAGTACAAGTATTTGTAAACAATTGTCTACACAAGATAGTGAATGTCCGTTGACCGGATACCATCAGGAACAGCCTACTGTGAGACAGACGAAACAAGATTCCAGCTGAAGAGGAAAATACATTGGAAATGGATAAGAAATACATTACGGAAATCATCAAACTGTATCAAGAGACTAGCGCAAACTTGGGATTCTGAAGGCTAAAGTAAATGTGTAAGGTCAAATTACACATTGCCTCGGGAATTGGAGCCAGATATCAAAATAATGAATAGCGATTGAAAACAACTGCAAAGAATTGCCATGAACAGAGTTGGTTGAAGAATAGTAATGGGTGGCTTATTCTCCTCCACGAGCATTAATAGTCGTAAGTAAGTTGTTAGATGTCCTCACTCAGTTATTAGTGTGTTGTTAGTTCTTATTTCATTTCGTTTATAGTTTTACGGCTATGATCTTTTAATCCACTTGGAACTTTCTATTTTATTTTGCGCATAGATCAAGTGTATTGAATAATAACATTTTTAATAATGTTTTTATAATTTCAAGTTAGAACTTTATTTGAAAGAGTTACCATTAATTATCACTTTAAAAATAAAATCAATTTACTGACCGCTGTCATTAATTCAGAACATTTTGTTATCTATGACAAATCAATATTCCTACTTATGTTTATCAGTGATGTAATTGTAAACACGATTATCATAAAACTAATCTATTTCTTAGATTGGTTAGAATTTCTATTTATTCAACCGTCTAACTTTATTCAATACACATTTTCACTTATATTGTATATATAAAGAAAAATATGGAAAATATGGAAAATTATATATCCATATTTTAAGGAGAGATTTTTTTAAAAAAAAAAAAGAAGAATAATGAACTCATTAATACAGCATTATAAGAAATAAAGGACAAATAACTGTAATTATTATTGTTGCATAACATTGAAATAGAATAACTACATGAATGTGTCATTCATTATCTAATGAAAAGAAAACAAGAAATAATTTATATGTTTAAAACATGAAAACAGTAAAATATTGTTGTTTGCAAACAAAATTCACGCTGTAAATAAACATATTTATAAATTAACACATTATAACAAATTGTAAATAAAATCTGATGAATATTACGCAACAACAAAAAAAGTATAGAAAGAAACTAATCATATAAACGAGAAGAGAAGAATAGTCAAAATATAATTAAATGTACAATCGTAATTAAATATTGAAAATTATTAAAACAAAATACACTTACAATATTCTGTTGTTATTATTGTTAGTATTATTAATAATAAAAAATCTCCTTGTAACATAACAGGTGTTCATTACGAAATTCTCAATGTTCAAATTGCTTTATTTTGTGTTTTTTATTTAAAACAAAGTCAAATAACTGTGCCTTTAAGAAGTAAACAAACTTACAGTGTTATTTCTTTTTCAAATCTTTGATACTGAATATATGTACGTCTGTTGAATAGTTGAATAATATGGGATTAAAATATACTGGATCAATCAAATGTTGACCAAATTATAAAGGAAATTTACTTAAATGAGCAAGTTAATAGTCAAGAATTAGCCATACTTTCTGAGATAATATAAATATGATATTGGTTAGAAATTTGGTTCTCATGAAGAAGGATATATGTTTATGAATAAGTTATGCATCTATTCCCAGTTTGGTTAAGCAGTAAAAGATTCATACTCAGTCTTAGTTTTCTCACTCAAGTAGCTAGTTCAGCTCGCATTTAGAAAACGAATCTATCAGAAGAGGAATCTGACGACCATAAAAAATTGTTTGAAGCCTAAATTCAATTAGCCTGACTTCATACGTATATTAGTATATGTTTACGTCTTTACTATGAATGTTAAAATATGTAATGTATTTTTAACCACAAAGTAATTCAATGTTGATTGCAGTGTAAGATGTAAAGGCTCACAATTGACTGGCATGTATATAACGTAATCAATAGTGTTTATTTTGAGTAACTTAATATTATACATTGTGGCATTTTAAGATAATTGAAATCAACATTTCACATGTTATGATGTCATAATTGATTATCGAATCAAATCTTTGTTGCTCTTAATTTTACCGTAAAATTTTTAAAAACGGTTTTACTGTTTCTTTGAAAATTAGTATTTTCACACTAAATTTTGAATTAAATTGTAAATTTCAAACTATGGAATTTTATTATTCAATAATATACTGTTTGGCATGTGTTTATGTATTTCTGAATGTAAAATGTATTAAAACCACGTGATACTTAATACGTGATTAAAAGATAGAAATGGAGTAAATTTATGAATCATCCATGACTTTTATTTTGAGAGAATGGCATCAGCAAAACTATAATTTAAACAGAGAAGTCTACTTACATTTTTTTGAAATATTTGAACAAATTTTCAATATCTGACATTGACTACTCAACTCTGAGACAGTGACGATACTTGTAAATCGTCCTATGTGTTTTGATTAAAATATTGAGTTTTTAATTTATATTGTAGGAGAAATTAAACGCTAAATTCTTTTCTGAATATTTATTGGTTTGGGTGATTGTAATATGTAAACAACATTTATAGAATTTCATTTATCTGAAATTATGGTATTAAAATAAATGTAAATAAAGAGAAACGAACCTTTATTTGATCCCATTTAAGGCATAATACTAATCTAAAAGGTTCTATTCACGATCTGTATATTTCTTAACTACAATATTTACCATTAGTCTCAGTATATAGAATGTATTCATTCATTGTCTTAATGTTAATAATGCATATTTCATAAATTTTTTACAGTTTCCCTATGATTTTCTCTTTCATTTTCCTATTTTAGACATTAATTTCACTTTTTGACTTCTTCACTTTACCTATACAAGTTGCCTCATTAATGGAATCACATATTTTGAATACCAATATTATTCCAAAATATTTTACTTTTCTGTTATCTTAACAGTTTAATGTCTAAAATTTTAACAAACATTCATTATTAAATCATTTTGTCATATTTAAAGGTCATATTTAATTAATATTTTGAACTTCCTATAATTTTTATCATTTTACAGTAGATGATGCCAAATATTATTTTGATTAAATATAAAAGAGGTGAACAATTTACATAAAATTAAATATTTAATTTATTATTAATATTTTCATTTATATTAATTCACCCCAATTATTATTTATTACAATAATGTTATATTGTTGTGAATTAAATTATATGACATAATTCATTTTAAATAATTCAGACATACCATAACATACTTATTCAATCGTTCAAGTATACATTCTTGGTAATAAATTATCATATACTGAAGGAAACAATATACGTGGGTGTCTTGGTATGTATTTATTATTATTTTTTTTTCTGAAATACTTAAAGAATATATTCCTATTAATTAATCATAATTGTCATTATTATTATTATTGCTCTAATTTTTGCTATTTATCTGGTTACAATGAAGAAAACACAGTACAAATTATAAAAGTTCACTATAATTTCTTCTGTAAAATATATCCAACTTTTAAATACTTAAAAAAAAATTTTCTCAACATATTGTGTGCCACGGATCGTCAGTTATGAGTTTCTATACATTATACATTAAATATTTTAGATTTACCTATTGTTTCTCCTCAAAATGAATAATAAGGAAAATGTACCTACCGTTATTGTGCTTCCGATTTTATCTTATAGTAGTTTGCATCAACATACGTTGAAGGCTTTTGCAAAATCACATGAGTTCATAGTGAGATTCACATCCATGAATACTTTGTTAAAACAAATTTAAAATGTAAATAATTGTTCTAATAGCTTTACAGCTTTAAAATAGATAGCTCGAAGATGCAAGCATTATTTTCCCTATGATAAGGCTGAAAAGTGATTGCAGCTACCCATTTACATGCATTTTTAATCTTTCTCCAATTATTGAGTTAGTTTTCATTCTTTGAAATTCATCCTATTTTTTCACTTAAATGGATGGATTGATATGCCACAGCGTGGATCGATATATGTTTATACCAGATTCTATATGTACCGAAAAATGTTTCATTGATGAATTCTTTGTGGACAATCTTGAAAGAATATTATTCATAAAAAAATTTGATAAAGTATTTTAATAGTGAGTAAAATAATCCTATAAGATTGAACAATTCATCAAGACGGCGTATTCTACCTGCTTACTATTAATTGTATAATAAAGTTGAGATAGTTCACTTCAGTTATTAATTGTAAAAGGAATATTTTAACTGTTGATATGATTCAGAATCGGTCGCAACGGTTCAGAAAGATTTACTCTTTGTCTATCCTTTGAATGTACTTTTAAATCATCTTATACTTTTAATTCTGTGACTTCTCTTATTCAGTTCAAATTACATTCTCTATGTCAAATCAGATTTCCTATCACTGATACTACAACTCTAGTATTCATCTTTGTAATTTCACCTCCCTGTCGTGATATGCTTTCGCAATGTTATTTTTCGTCCCAAATTTCTATGTTGTTTATGACTGATTATTATCAATAATATTAAAAAAACGGCCTTCAAAGTAATACACAGAAATAGATATATTTGAAAGTTTAGGCTTTTATACTTTTCTACATTTAAAGATTTCAGGAATCAACAAGATCCAAATGGTTGTTCTGACCTATTACATTTGAAACTTCTATCCTAGTCTATCATTGTATATTTTCCCATATGATCACAAATAACAATCAGTATCAGTGCTCGCAACACTTCAGGTATGCCTTGCTGATGAATTTCAACTATCACGAAAGCTAGTTTCAAGGTTTTCTGTCAGCTTTCTTTAACAACCTAACATCTTAATATAATCACCGCAATGTCCAGTCATCTAGGCTAGTGCTCACATAACAACTTGATCGAAAAACTAGATATAAATATGATATTAATCGCTGCACAGTGATCAATCAATCAAACATTTTTTGCATATTCCTCAGTTCATTGACTATACAAGTTATACTATTTCTTTTTTTAAATAAGGTATCCATTTTTAAACCAAGATTAATATATATACTAGCTTAGTTAACTGAAGTAAACTGTTTGCTGGAGAATCGATTAATCATTGACTTTATTCATCAAGCGAAAAACTATCGAAAACTGAAAAAAACATTCAGTATGTCTTTTTTTAACGAAGCACATGGTCTCACCATCCATATAATAATAATAATAATTATATATATATATATATATATATATATACGTGTGTGTGATAGTTACCTATCAAGAACGAATTCCCCTTTGTCTTTTAATCGGTATTATATCTGTTTTGTTATTTAGCATTAGCTTTAAAACAATAATCAAATAAAATAGCATTTTTTGTAATCCCATACGTCACTTTTTTTCGTGTAGTCATAATTTATCCAAAGTTATCTGTCGAATTCGACAATTACAATTACTTTATCTTGATTAGTCTGCTTTCTCATCGCTTTCTTTGTTATAAAAATATGCGTTTTTCCATCAAGTACTTCAGTTTTTGTAAACATTTGTATCTGTATAAGACCACTTGATGATAAAAACATATTCTTTAAATTACTACAATATTGATGGTTAAATCTTATAGCAAAGAAAGTAAAACGCGAATTAATTCTGAATAAAAATGAGTTTTATTTGTTGTATAAATGAGATCATAGAATTATTATTAGAAAACAAATCTATTTCATGTTATCAGTTGTATAATATAATCAATGGTCCACCGAGATTCATCTTGAGCTTATATTTTGACTCAATTTAACAATGTGCACTGGTCATTTTAGCATTAACTATTTTGCATTATTTTGCCAACAATCTTAAATACATGTTCTATTAGTTGTAAACGATTTATTCGCCTTGAACTTGACTATCGTTTTTGCAACGTTAATTCAGATTTATAACTATCAAACCTAATGAACAGTTATTGAAAATGATATTCGTCGTTCAGGTCATGTGTCTTTGTTTAAAATGGTTGTCTAGCTAAGTCAATCTATGATGTAAGCTATATTTTATTTGAACAATCTTTCTACATTTCTAATGCTAATAATCTCTTCTCTATTTTTACAATATTCAAAGTGAAAAATAAGTCTACCACACTGTAAACTCCTTTTAAAAAATTTTCAAAAGGCTAATATATCAAGATTTTTCATTTCTAAAACTATTTTGGAGAATCGTAACATTCATTATTAATTTTTATTATATCAATACTCCTTCAGTGTTTCATTTTTGAGATTGTGTTTACATAATCCATATTGATAAGTCTTGCTAATTGAACGCTAGATTTATTTCCTAGACTATTCTAGTAACCCCCGGGATAGAACTACACAGCGACTTGAACACGAGGGAAAAGGCGCGAAATGTGTAAGAAGCACTTTACTCCTAAGTTTCATTCATGTACAAGAAATACAGGGTTTTTATAGTATTTTAGATGTCCTTGGTTTCCCTGAAAATCCTGGAATGCTACTAAACATAGTAGCAGTGTAGTAATCATGTAATCAGAAACTTGACATGTGACTTTTCGCTTTCTTGATGTTTCTGGCAAAACTTCTAGTAAACGCCGATTGGATAAGATGCTTCTCAGTGTTTTCAGAGCCTTTCTTGACTTTTTTTTCGAGGAGTTTTCTGGATCTCCCCAACACATAAACATTCTTACATCTCAATTTGCACTTTATAAAATCACCAGTAGACATTTTAAATTATCTTACAGTATCAAAATTCACTTTGAATATGACTTTAAAAATGTACATGATTGTTCAATTTCGCGTCCTGCGTGCGGGATCGTGGATACGCACTACTGAGGAGTCCCGTACTATAATGAATTGGCTATCCAATGCTTCCAGGATTTCAATAGTGTTCTAGGTTAAATCGACTTGTAAATTCAACCTTTAGAGCATCGTCACCTTCACTTCGTTTCATTACGCTAGAGAACTCTAAAAGTCATGCTTTTCGTTATAAACATCAATTTGATTTTTAGTTATGAATAAGCGAACTGTGTTAAATATATAAATAGGTGTTCAAGTACGAAGTACCAAATGATTTCACGTAAATAATTCAGTCAATTGCTTACTTAGCTGTTAAAAATAAAGCCATGACAGAGGGAACACTACATTTTTTGGGTATGTACTTGTGGAATTCTTACTCCTATATTTGCTGTATTCACATATCCTTAATTAATTTTAGTTGACGCAATCTAGTGTTGCCAAACAACAGGAAAGCTAATCATTCAGATTTTATATGATAAGATCATATTTTACCCCTACTGTTCATATTTTTGCTGTTGATAATCAGTTATCGACTAATCAATCCGTTATAGGTACCAAGACAAAATGATTTATTTTAGATCGATACCTAATTGCATTTTGGTCTAGAAGGTTGTGTGAATCAGTCACCTACTATGTCAATTTTTTCATACCGTCCCAGTGTGGTGTGTTACTGATGTCAATAGATAGAAGTAGTGTATATCATCAGTCGAAAGTGAAATACCTGGAGGCAGAAGGTTAGGAAGATCAAAGAAAAGAGAACGGGAACAAAGAATTATTGGTGTAGAAACCAAAGAAAACTGAAGTCTGAGACGGTTGATTGACATGTTGCAAATGAACTATTTACTGTATGGTTCACAGATTTTACTGCGATGTTCTGTAATTTTGTAATCAAATACTTCCGATTATCCCCACTTGTGTTCTCATACATTGCACCAGTAAACTTAATTGATCCACCCTTATAACTTGATCATACGGCCACATATCCATATTTAGGCTCTCTCTATACATAATCTAACCATTATTCATACTATGTTTGCAGTATCACTTCAATGATAATAATTGTCTATTATTTTCAGTCTTATACTCTAAAGTATTGACGGTCATGTACAACATTTGTTCTTACTTGAAATGCAGAAACAGTTACAATTTAAATCATTAGGACCTTAGGTATAACTGATTGAATATTTTTCTATTAAAATATTATGAACTAAGCTGAATATAATATATTCTACGAATAAATATGGAGTGTCTTTAGCACAGTGATGTGGCTCAGAATCGGTATCAATAGAGCAGATACATTCACTCTTTTGTCTTAAAATACTTATGTGCTTTATTTCAATAATTTATTTTTTTATCTGGTATCATAATTCTTATCCCTAATCATTATTATTATTATTACTCATACTGTTACTAATTTCCCTACTGTGGCATTTTTCGTCATAATTTCATGTAACTATGTTGATGTCATGTGGTAATCCAAATCGATGCACTTGTGTCCCAGGTTCTGTGTGTTTTTTGTCTGACTAACCATTTTTTATAACTTCCTTTGCTTATACATCAGGACAAAATGGTAATTTGCGCATTAGTATTTTTTTAAATTTCAGTGGTCATTATCAATGTTGTTATCTTAATAAATGTTTCTGATTTTCTCGTTTTGTTTTCTTCCAATTCTAGATTTAATTCATTTTTAGGCTTTAAAAAGTGAGTACCATTTTTCATTTTTCAACATTCAGTGATACTCAACCATTTAAATAAAAACCTTTTTTCGAGCTTCATATTTACATTGTGTTAAAAGATTAGCCAATATATAAAAAAAACTAGACCACATGGAACATTGTTCCGATCGCCTAATTGTAAAACCTGATAATTCACGGAGATTTATCTCATATAATATGAAATTTTTTTGCATTACATACAATCGCCAAACTAAGACATAATTTTCAGATTTCGTTATTTTTATATGTGCATACAACAAAATAAGACAGAATTCGCCCTATTATGTAAGAGACAAAACAAAAAAGCTAATAGCGAATGATACAAACCAATCAGTAAACAAACTCCTTTGGTATAGCAGAGCTATGCATAACGTTACGGATCGTCCATGCTATGAATAATTAAGATTTTCCATTCATGAAATCGGTATATATACAGCGTAAGATAAATGATATACGAACCATCATAATGTAATAGACTAAGTGTTAATAAATATTAATACACTTTGATTTTATAAAACTGACATAATGACGTATAACATTACGAGAATGTTTGAAGTGTACGAACTTTCATATTTATTGAGGGAATTAAACATGAAAGTCCAATAGAAAATGTTTCAAATGATAAAACACAATCGATTAAATAATGAATTAAAGCTGTCATTTATACATACATATATAAAATATATAATAAAAAAGATACAAACTTAACAAATTAAAAATGATGAATTAACATGAAGTTACAAAACGACCATCAATCTGTTTTTTATTACTATATAATTTAAGACAACTTTCCAATTATACTTTCCTGAAACAAAAATAAAATTTAGTATATATCCGTAGACTTTCATTATGCTTTGAAACATACATCTACGATCCAATTCGAATAATAATTGTGAACACGAATGATTCAGTTTAGTAATCTGAGTCAATCATCGTACAAAAAAAAACTAAGCGACAACCAGAAAAACTGAATTGTCTAACCAAAATGAAGTTTGATTTATTTTGGTGTGAATATTTACCAAACGACGATGACGTTTATAGCTTGCAAAATAAAATTAAGGTGTTTTAGTGAACACTATGAAAACAGAAAGCATGATTCACTGTCAGGAAAACTGTCATCCATGTATGTTGACGAAAATCAGAATTTTATGCTGAATCCTCAAATTCATGACAGGCATTTCAGTATCCGGTTGTTTACTGAGGAACGAAATATGCGAAAACCGTACGTACACACTATTTTGGACAGTAAGGCCACGAGGAAACTGCAACGACTGATAACTGAAGTCTTACTGAAACGCTTTAAACAACGAAAACGGAGAAGTGTTATAGTCAACCTCATAAAATAAAGTTTGCATGACATCAGTTCTCCTACAAATAAATATTAATTCTGATGACTTCGATAACTACACCTCGTATGTTCGTAGGCAGCAGTTTTGAGAAGTAACCCTACAGTGGTACGAATTACCATTATTATTTCCCAGTCGGAGCCAATAAAAGCGATGAGTAGAACAGTTCACTCAAGAGCTGTAATCATTATTCAGGAAGATCCACGTCACATACTTTAAAGAGTATTATTACAATAAGAAGTCCACAGACATCTATTTTACGTATGATAATGATAAAATCAGTCGATGTATCACCAATTAATTCGTGGTTCACCTATCACTAGCCAACTTTGGAATGTACTGAAATTGATTGTATGGAGTGAGTAGCGTTATTGCTAAATTATTTTCGACTCCGGTTGTTAT